TTGGTTCCTCAAAGTAAGAGGTAAGAAGCACAGTTTATGAGGATATGTGGGGAAGATAACGGTTAACACTAGACTTGAACTGGTTAAGATTGTAGTGATCGGGGAAGCATCCGCGTGGGAGTCGGTTCCACAAAGTAAGAGGTAAGAAGCACAGTTTATGAGGATATGTGTGGAAGGTAACGGTTAACCCTAGACTTGAATTGGTTAAGATTGTAGTGATCGGGGAAGCATCCTCTTGGGAGTCGGTTCCACAAAGTAAGAGGTAAGAAGCACAGTTTATGAGGATATGTGGGGGAAGATAACGGTTAACCCTAGACTTGAACTGGTTAAGATTTTAGTGATCGGGAAGCATCCTCTTGAGAGTCGGTTCCTCAAAGTAAGAGGTACGAAGCACAGTTTATGAGGATATGTGGGGAGATAACGCTTAACCCTAGACTTGAACTGGTTAAGATTGTAGTGATCGGCGAAGCATCCTCTTGGGAGTCGGTTCCACAAAGTAAGAGGTAAGAAGCACAGTTTATGAGGATATGTGGGGAAGATAACGGTTAACCCTAGACTTGAACTGGTTAAGATTTTAGTGATCGGGGAAGCATCCTCTTGGGAGTCGGTTCCTCAAAGTAAGAGGTACGAAGCACAGTTTATGAGGATATGTGGGGAAGATAACGCTTAACCCTAGACTTGAACTGGTTAAGATTGTAGTGATCGGCGAAGCATCCTCTTGGGAGTCGGTTCCACAAAGTAAGAGGTAAGAGGCACAGTTTATGAGGATATGTGGGGAAGCTAACTGTTAACCCTAGACTTGAACAGGTTAAGATTGTAGTGATCGGGGAAGCATCCTCCTGGGAGTCGGTTCCACAAAGTAAGAGGTAAGAAGCTCGGTTTATGAGGATATGTGGGGAAGATAACGGTTAACCCTAGACTTGAACAGGTTAAGATTGTAATAATCGGAGAAGCATCCTCTTGGGAGTCGGTTCTTCAAAGTAACAGGTAAGAAGCACAGTTTATGAGGATATGTGCGGAAGATAACGGTTAACCCTAGACTTGAACAGGTTAAGATTGTAGTGATCGGGGAAGCATCCTCTTGGGAGTCGGTTCCTCAAAGTAAGAGGTAAGAAGCACAGTTTATGAGGATATGTGTGGAAGATAACGGTTAACCCTAGACTTGAACTGGTTAAGATTGTAGTGATCGGGTAAGCATCCTTCTGGGAGTCGATTCCACAAAGTAAGAGATAAGAAGCACAGTTTATGAGGATATGTGGGGAAGATAACTGTTAACCCTAGACTTGAACAGGTTAAGATTGTAGTGATCGGAGAAGCATCTTCTTGGGAGTCGATTCCACAAAGTAAGAGGTAAGAAGCACAGTTTATGAGGATATGTGGGGAAGATAACGGTTAACCCTAAACTTGAACAGGTTAAGATTGTAGTGATCGGAGAAGCATCCTCTTGGGAGTCGGTTCCTCAAAGTAAGAGGTAAGAAGCACACTTTATGAGGATATGTGTGGAAGGTAACGGTTAACCCTAGACTTGAACTGGTTAAGATTTTAGTGATCGGAGAAGCATCCTCTTGGGAGTCGGTTCCTCAAAGTAAGAGGTAAGATGCACAGTTTATGAGGATATGTGGGGAAGATAACGGTTAACCCTAGACTTGAACTGGTTAAGATTGTAGTGATCGGGGAAGCATCCGCTTGGGAGTCGGTTCCACAAAGTAAGAGGTAAGAAGCACAGTTTATGAGGATATGTGTGGAAGGTAACGGTTAACCCTAGACTTGAACTGGTTAAGATTTTAGTGATCGGGGAAGCATCCTCTTAGGAGTCGGTTCCTCAAAGTAAGAGGTAAGAAGCACAGTTTATGAGGATATGTGGGGAAGATAACGGTTAACCCTAGACTTGAACTGGTTAAGATTGTAGTGATCGGGGAAGCATCCTCCTGGTAGCCGATTCCACAAAGTAAGAGGTAAGAAGTTTGTTCCCAAAAGTTAAGAAGTGTATTTTATGCGGATGGTCTCTGGCCCTCAGCACAGAAAACTGAAAAGAACAACATAGATGAGGACACTAGTTTGAAATATTGTAACTAATGTTAACTCCTCATCCCCAGAATTCAAACAGAAATATATCGAGTTTGTTACCATTAACGGCACTGCTTTGTTATTTGATACAAGAGTAGTCCATAATAGAGAGAAGAAAGAAAATTTTGAATACAGGATTAAAGTACAAAATCAAGACAACATGAACTTGTCAAATTGTGTCTATTGTAATCGGAGTTTTGGTAACATTGTAAAGAATTTGTTAAATTGGTTGAGAGCATTAGTTTTGCCAGTATGATTTTATGTGTCGCAGAAAACCTGGATACTTAGGAATGTAATTTGATATCCAATAAGTGCAAAAGCAGTTAATAACATCCAATTTAAGTTAAGACGCAGACATATTTATGAAATTTAATGCAAGCTAAATCCTATAAGCATTATTCGAACAAAATGACAAGTTGGTAATCAATTTCGAAGCAAAAGACAGTAAAGTTAAGCTTGACTCAAATGTCTGACGGATTTCGAATTTACATTTGTCCCGAGAGAAAATGGAAGTCGAATTAAGTCATTTCTATGTTGAATCATAATTTGTTTACTCTCAGTCAAGGAATAAACCAGGCTTACATCCATATCACATTCAAACACCAGCTTTTGTACGATCACTTGAATTAAGCAACGTCGGGCCTAATCAGTCCCTAGATAGACCTTGGGAATACCAGGTGCTGTAAGCTTGGATGTGCGGGTGGTAACTGCACGCATTGAGAAACTGGAGAGTCAAGTTCGAAATCCGGTCAGGTACGTTATATTCACTTACGCGCAAATACTTTTGGGAAATGCCTGAATCTACCTCTTCTCCCCACAAGTGTGAGACCCCCCGGTGGTCGCGGTCGCAGTCCAGCGCCAATATGTTACACCCACTGGTGTGGTCGCCGCGCCAATATGTGACGTCCACTGGTCGCGACGTCAATATATGACACTGCGCCGTCGGCCCGTGGTCAACTATCAGTTGCGGCGCGAAGCTGTAAGGTTTCTTCTACCAGCATTTTGGGGTTGACTCCTTGTCGCTGCCACCAGCTTGTGATCTGGTCGTTTCCGCATTGATACAAGCTTTGTCATTCTCAGCTCGCCTCCAACGCTTGGTCACCGAAGTAACTGCTTTGATCTCAAGTCTAACCTACCCCCGTTGTGACTTTGATCTTAGGTAGACGAAATCAATCAGGCGTCGGTCCGTAGTGCAAGCTGAATCCGGGGTAGTGATTCCGCACAAGCGTAAGTAAAAAATAATAATAAAATAAACTCAAGAGGTTCAAATATGTTGAGAAATAACAATTATCTTTATCTATCTCTTGAATACAGGAGTGTGTTTCTCTCCCGGCCCGTTTCTATGGATTCGTGACACTTTTTGCGTTTCTTAAGCGAGTTACAGTATCTTAAGTCGTTCGTCAATAAAAACTTGCTTTTGGTAGGAAGACTAAGTTGAGAGGACGTGGAATTTCTCGGTCAGCTTCTGCAAGGCAACACTCTCCAACTTCTTGAACTAACTCTAAACTCGAACTGACTGGAACTGACTGCAACTCACTCGAGACGTTCGTTTATATGGACACCGACCAAAACCAGGTGTGGGGGCCCGACGTGGTTTGGGTTCCTTGGTAATTCTCAATTCCCAACAAGAATTCTTAGGCTAGGAAAATTAATTACTTCCCATTTTTGGAAGATTAATCCCTTTCCACTTCGGGGGTTCCTCCCTCGTTCGTGAGGGAAGGTCGGAGGAGAGTTATCCTAGGCTCTTCCTCTCTCACATTGGTAAATCATACCAATCCCCTCAGTGGGTGTTAACAACTTCTCCGCCTTTCTCATACATTCACCTCCGCCTATCACCCATGCTACCACTTGGCCAATGATCTCTAGGCAGTGTGGACTGGTCCTCTTAGAATTATCCAGAACTTTGTTTACAAAATACTTTTTTTCTTTTCTTTTTCCTTTTCCTTCGGCCAAAACATTTACAAATCCCAGATTGCTAATTAATTCTTATCACATCTTAATTTTGGGGACACCCAAATCCACTTAGCACGGACCTCTACCAACTCATTAATCATTGTCAAAACCCGACACCTGGCTTCTCCGCTAGTCAACTTTTAACTGGGTGGTCGTGTTTACCTGATAATTAAATTCTTTATTTTTCTCATGCCTTAAAATTCTCTTATCACCAGATGCTCATTTTCGAGACGCTATGTATGACGTCAACAGTTTGAATAAGCAATAATAATGATTCCCTTTTCGATTTTCCTTCTCATGCCAAGATTCGTGCATATACCAGATGGCTTTCTTCGCTGGAACCAGGAATTAAAGTTAAATGATATCTCTGAAAGATAATTAATATCTATTCTCCGTGGTGGTCTCAAGCTGAAATTTTTTAATGGTCGCATGCGTTGGTTGGCTTTGTTTTTCTTTCAGAATTCTGTTTCGTTTGGCGCGCCACCCACTTATCCTGACATTAATTAATTTTGACAGAATCACAGTCACGCTTTTTCTTACGGATTTTCTGTCTTTTGCGAAAAGCAACTTTTTTTTTTGTAAATAAAATAAATTCTTCTTTTTAATGTCGCTCAGTCTATCTTTCGATCTAGCTCTTTCTCGCCTTAAGTATTTCCCGTTTTTTAATTTCTATGGTTAATTAGTTAGCCAATTACCATAGCTAAATAGTGTTACGCAAACCATTAGCAGCCCTTGCATCAGTAAATCATTATTTTCCGCATAAAATTCTTATAATCTAAAACTATTTTTCTGAATTTAAATAAACTGCAACAGGTTGATAAACCGTGAAAACAAATCAATGAAGAAATAAATCGAAGAACAACATTTCTTTTTTACCCTTTGTGTTTCATTACTGTGTGGCACTGAATGAGGAGGAAGCTAAAGTAGTCAACAAATGAAGAATCTCTAAGCCTTCCCTCTATCAGTACGGATACGGTTTAAGGCCATATCAACTTGAAACACCGCTTCCTCTACGATCACCGAAGATAAGCAACGTTGAGTCTGGTCACTACCTAAATGGGTGACCGCTTAGGAATAACAGGTGCTGTAAGCTTAGATTATGCAGTGGGTGGAGATGTAGTGGCTCAGAATTGTTAATCGGAGTTCTGAGTTCCAATTCCAGAAGGGTTCATTATATAGACATACGTACAATTAATTTTGGGAAAGGTATGAAACCACCCCCCAGCTATGGGTTAATTAGTAAAACTTATATAATTAAAACCATTATTATATCAAAAAATAAAATAAAATTGCGTACAAACTATACAAACGTCAGCATTCAATAATACATAGAGAATGATATGCCGCTGAACAAAAACAGCCAACCAACCATGTATGGATACGCATTGATACTCCGTCAGATCTACTTGCCGAAGACACGATACGCATGAATTAATACCTTTCCGGTTTTCAATCCCGATATGACTAGGAGCTCATCTGCGCATCGACCTTACGACCACACCGGGAATGATGGTGTAGTATATATTCATTGGAATTGGGGCACCTCGAGGCGGTGTAATGGTTAGCAAGCTTGGCTCGCTAGAACAATTACGACTGAGTAGTGAGTTCGATTCTCACTGGGTAATTTCGGCCTTGTGCCACATCTAAGCTACGCTTGGAAAATCACTGTATTCATTGGAATTGAAGGAAATAATTAATAAGAAGAAGTGTAAGGTTTCTGCTAGAGTCAGAATCATGCTGGAAATAAAGGCAAGATAGATATGAACAAATTAAGATACGAAGGTCGTTTCGCACTTATTTATTTCACGGAAACAGGCAAAGATAGCACACTACCAATGTTGTCTCAAGCTCCGTAATTATTCGCACAGTAACATCCATTAGCGATTCGTTTTCTAGCTCGTAATTTAGTTATAAACCTACTTTTTTCTCTCCTAGCACTGATGACAGTGTCATTTCCAGGAAAATTTCCACGTAGACAAGCTTTCTTCGACCATAATTGTCACTTTCACCATCGTAGTAGTTCCGCAAATTTTGAAAGATTTGTTTTCGGTGGTCTTTCTGTTTTTGTGTGGATCTTTCGTGGGATCTCCCCGGAACAAAATTTACGTGACCTCATCGCTGCAATTATAGTTATCAAAGCATTGAACATTCAACTCTGTACACAATATCCTGTTTCCATTCTGTTGTTTTGTACAGATGGCAATCACTATCGCCACTGCCGAAGAACATTATACACAGTTTTGACTGTAAACGACATGCAATCTTCAGGTACATTATTTTTTTCCATATGATCGAATTCAATAATACACTTCTGGAAATACACGCCTTCCTAACAGACGCCATTATGATAGACTTAGTAAAAATATGGCTTATTGGAAGGAAGGATTCCACCCATACTGCTATATACGTCGTGGGCCAAAAAGAGGCACTATTTTTGGATCGATTATCCTCTATTATGAATCAAGTAGCAGGGTAAACTGATTTTTCTTGCTTTGGGTGGCAATCAGTCGAGGGTTATGAAACACTGAATTCAAAATCACCCCTGTTTTGCCGGCGCAAGTGTCTCGTGCTCCCCAATCTATGATACGGAGTCCCTCGAATCTATGAGACGCCCCACCTCACTTTAGTACATCTGAATTTTCATAAGGTAGTATTCATATAAACTATAAATTTTATTGTAACCTAATAATGTACGATAATGTATCCTAAGCAATATAGGTGAACAATTCAACTAGAAAAATTGAAAATAACTACAATGTATCTAAATGCAAATTAGAGACATGACATATTAAATCACTCCATCTGAAATAAATCAACAATGTTTTGCGGCAATTTTAGACATCAAATTGAAATTTTTCTTGTCAAAAAGTTGAATAATTGTTATGGTCCGGTTCCTTATACCACGTTGATAGTCCAAGGTAGAACCAATAAAGAAGAACTCGAAGGCGGATATGGAATAACACAGATATATTACAAACAGGAATATATACGGAGAAGTAGAAAGTGTTAGTACGAACAATCAGGTTTAGTAGTAATTGTCTGAACACGACTCTGTTTCGGACTGCCTCTGACTCGACTGACTGACTCGCTCGCTCTGACTGACTGACAGACTCCTGACGGACTTCACTCCAGACTGAACGGTATTTAGTCACCCCCACCACGAGGGCATCATGTGGCACAAGGCCGGTTTAACGTGGGATATCCGAGCCCGTGGGCTCGGCCAAAAATATGCCCTTTAAACCCGTATAAACGGGTTCAGGGTCGGTTTACCTCCCCGAATGAGACCACGCCCTTCGGCGTAGCCCCGTTCGGGTTCCTTCCCGCCCGATGGCAGAGAGTTCAACCGATCAGCCGGTCAGCCCGTCGCCCGACTTCAGACTGAACGGTATTTAGTCCCCCCCTCCCACGAGGGCATCATGTGGCACAAGGCCGGTTTAACGTGGGATATCCGAGCCCGTGGGCCCGGCCAAAAATATGCCTTTTGAACCCGTATAAACGGGTTCAGGGTCGGTTTACCTCCCGAAAGAGACTCCGCCCTTCGGCGTAGCCTCGTTCGGGTTCCTCCCCGCCCGAAGGCAGAGAGTTCAACCGATCAGCCGGTCAGCCGGTCGCTCGACTTCGGACTGAACTCCCTGCTTCCTCTTGAGACACAGTATTTATTACGTATGGAATAGTCCATTATGTTATTATGGGTAAGGTCCCATAATAATAATTTTAACTCATTCAACATTATGAATAAAAAGTGAATTTTATATAGTGCTTTTTTTTTTGAGACTTAGTATGACAAAAACAAATTCACAGACTTGGATGAACAAAAATAAACACCTGAGAATGACGTTAAAATCCGCGAAAATGTTTTATCCTTTAATAGTCAGTTGTGCTTAGGTTAATTTGTTACGTATATAAATGTAGGTAGAAAAAAAGCAAATGTTGATAAGATAGAGAGAATCACAAAACACTGCCCGAGGAATCCAATCAGGCTTGCCTCATTCCCCGGTCGTTGGATTCTGGGATAGTACGCACCGGTCTTGCGGTTACCAGTTAAGTTAAGCTCGTTAGCGATCGACGTATGTGAGAGAAAACTGATCACAAACCAGGGTAGACGGGATGCTTTAACAATTAATGACAACCAATAATCGAGTGTAGTAAACCTCGACTATGTGATTCCAGATGGTAGCAGCAACTGAAAAACCCAAATCGCAAAAAACAGTTATATATATATTTTTTTCATATATACAGAGGGTGCGATGGATAAATCGTCGTCTAAATGATGCAAAAATGAAAATAACACTGGCATTTTAACAGATATAATTAACAAAATTATACAAAAATATCTTGAAATACTAAAGACTAATTTTATTCAAGAAAATCGCCATTGGCTTCAACCATGACCTCCAGACGACTTCAGAATTTCCTGCATCTCTTCTGGGCGGTCTTCTTGTTTAAGTTGGTGAATGATGCCATAATCCTTACCTTCAGCTCATCTTTGGCATTACAAGGAGTTCTGTCGATCTCTCGCGCCCTACAAATAATGATCAAGGGGATTGCAGTCTAACCAGATGTAACAGATGACGTTGTCGTAGAAATTGTCTGACAACCATGACTGGGTACTCCTGCGGCATAGTTGTTATACCATAATACCTATTCTATTGTAATAGACTCTCCCACAGATATAAGTAGTAGTAGCAGTGGCCAGTTGGGCTCAGTGGTGTTGAGTGAGTCAGTCGATGTCGGACATTGAAGTATCAACCATCACAACTAGATTGCTGCGTCATTAACTCTTATTTCAAGTTCCTAACGTTTTGTACGTCGAACCTAATTTAGGACGACTTATTGAAATACAAGCCTCCACTGTGAAAACTACTCTACAACAATAGTGCAGAGTCCTATTGCTAGACATAGTTTCTCACAGCAGCCACCCTCTTGACCCAGAGCAGCACTACCTCCTCAGCGCAGTTGATGTATGCCACCGTGTTGATTCCTGAGGCCCTCACCAACAAATTAAGTTCTTTTCTGATCAGAACGATCAGAGTGAGTTTTCCAAGTTGACGTACCTTCGTAATCACCATTAGACTCATCCAACTCTTTCCGAATCCTTTGTATTGTCTTCAGATTGACATTCAAACACTCTGAAATATTCGTATTGGAGCTTCCGGCGTGAATGCCGTTTCCAAATTTCTGGCGAAGTGAATTGCGTCATGGTGCTCTTTTTCTAACAAACGGGGCTCAACTGACCCTACTACACTGTACAGTCGACAAAATCAAAATCAAACAACGCGCATGCGCGAAATTATAAATATAAAGTGGCGAAAATTTACCCTTCGCGTCTGTATATATATATAAAACAATTTGTAAAAATATTTTCTTTAACGTCTCATAAGAATAAAATATACGTTGCATTAACATGATTAACCGTAAGCAGCTGGATGCTTGATTTTCATTATATATTCAAACATGTTTCATTGAATAAGTTCATATGAAATTTTGTCCTTGTCTTGGTGTGCGGTAAAACAAGGACATATAAACTTATGTCCACAAAACCTTGGTTATATATATATATATATATATATATATATATATATATAGATAGATAGATAGATAGATAGATAACTATACTCGTTTCGGAAAACCCTCGAATTTTTGATTTGCCAATAATCAAATCAGTCTCGAGGGAAAAAAGGTTTTAAAAAAGAAAGAGCTAGAAACATGAAAGTCTGTCGAAAAAATCGCACAGATACAGGTTTGAAGCCCAAAGAAAAAACCCCAACACGAGTAAACAACTAACTAACAAACCGTAGAGCAGTTAAACGAACCTACCCTAGGTTTCACTTAAACGGATCGTCAGGGACGATCCGTTTAAAATGAAACCTAGGTAGGTTTGTCTCACTAGGTTTATATATATATATATATATATATATATATATATATATATATATATATTTCATTTATTTAAAAGTATGTCCAGGAAAGAAAAATATTAAATTAAGTTTATTAAAAAATATATATTTTGAATATTATTCGCTTTCTTTTGTCTTACCAGACTTCGAATTATGGCACTTTGTGTCCTCCACATGCTTTGACTGACCTTTCA